TCCTAGCACTTCCTCCTCCATGTTACTCTCGGACAGACGTCAAACTCGTCATTTACCTCCTCTATAGTTTGCTTGTAAGGATTAGTTTTGTTTTTACGAGTTGATCACAGATTTATATCAGTTAGAGAACCATTGCAAACTAGTACGGAGTACTGGACAACCAGCTGTTTCATCCCACTAGTTTGGGAATCATCGGAAGTACGCACCCACTGCGGTTCGAACTCAGGGCCAGCGCGCTCGTATACTATTCATCCACTCTGACCCGATTCAGTGGCCAGTGCATGAATTCTAACTTCTACTGATTCGTGATTTAGCGCGACCACCAACCAATGTCGTCATTGGGACATCCATCCTCACTCCCGACTGGATGGACCTCACTAGTTACGACTTCTTACTAGAACTTTGGAAGACTCCGTCCTTTCTTTCTCCTTCTACCCTATGCTATCTGACTGTGACATCTTCATCCATGCCACCGACTATAGTTGAAACAATGATGTCGGACTAAGTAAAAGAGACACGACTTCCTATAGATTTAGCCCGTTGTTGCTGTTGTTGTTGTTGTTTTTGTTTCTGCTGCTGACTGCCTATAACATATTACGCAGGATGTTAAAGGTTTTCAGCAGGGTAAGCAACGTGACACTTAACCAGCTTGTTAATATTCTGGTTGACAGGCACATGGAATCATGTGAAAAATGGGCTAAAACCATTTTATCTAACTCACACCACCCTCTTCACTCACAACTCTCCACTTGCATCTCATCAGGCAAAACCAGAAGTCTATTAAGAAAACTATATGCTTGTACCAGCAAGTACAAAAACTCAACCATACCCTACTTGGCTCGTGTTCTGCGCGATAAAATAAGCATTAGGCGTGACACCTATAATTCATTAAATAGTCTGTTTTTTTCCGTTATGTGTTACTTTGTTTCTTTCTTCCGCTTACGCCAGTAAATATGATAGCACCTACTTTTCTAACACCTTCAAACACTCTGTTCAATTTTGGCTTTGCTACCGATATGCCAATATGTTGTTGTCATAATGAACTGAGATTTCCTTAATCTATGTAGAATTTCATTTATTGATAATGTACTAATTGGATGCAATACTGTAGTAAAAAATGCTGAGAATTTCATTCTGTATCACAAGTACTGTTTGGGAATAAAGCAAATTATTATTATTATTATTATCTTCATTATCTCTATCTCCTCCAAGTTCACTTAAAGTCCCCATCTCTTCTGTCTGCCTCTTCTGTCAATTTATTGGTTCCCGTTCAATTAGTTCTTCAAATCTGTTTGACACTAGACATAAATTAATTGTCCACAAATTTCTAGATCCTCTAGAGTTTTGTTTGTCTATCTAACACATACCCGTTTTGAAACAGATACTATAGGTACAGTATACAAAGTATTAGGCAAAATTTGAGTGACATGCGTCGAATGAAAAATTCATGCTTTTGTCTAAAATCAGTACTGTCCACACTTTCACCTTTCAATCAAATTGGAAAGTTCGATTGCATACTGTAGCTCTAACAGGGATCAGACAACACCTAAATTGTCAGAAAAGCCTAGAAGAAAAAGTACCTATAGAGTAATATTTTAACCTCAAAAAGTTACAACTATAGAAATTTTTTTACACACACACATATGTGAATGAATTAATAATGAACTATGCTGACTGATTGATAAAATTTCGTTTAAATGTGTACTCTTTGAAAAAGCCCACTAAATTGGTGTTGTTGATGGTGGTGGGGGTGGGCAACTTGTTAAAGAGAATGCTTTGTAAGACATATGAGTGATACAAAGTGAAAAAATCAAGTGAAGCTCAATGAAGGCTCTTTTTTTCTAAATGTAACAGATAAGAAGGAGTGAACTAATTTTTTTTCTTAAATCAACAACGTTTTTTCTACACTCCAGTAGTAGTTCAAGTTTGCTACACTTTAGAAAAGCACATAATAAGGTAGAGGCAGAAAGTGACGAGTAACTATTATAAACAGAAATGTGATGAAGATGGGATAATTTTATAGACGATGAAAAGATTTAATCAATATGAGGAGTGACAATCACTGAATTAGTCGATTTTATCATCAACAGTCTAGAGTCATTGATTTCTAGCCTTTTCAAGAACCTTAGCCAAGCTTACCAGGTGAAAGATTCTCAACAGTTTCACAATGAGTTTGCAGCTATTGATTCTAAGCAGCCTGAGGAGGACTCCAACCAGACAATAAAGGTATAAAGTAACATCATGTAAAACATTAGGTTTTTTTTTAATTTAAATGTTTATTTGAACTGAATGGCATGACTATTAGCCTTAATGTGCAAAATAATTCCTTAAAAGTATTAGTCTAAAGCTTTTGGGTGGTGATTCTCACTGTTTAATCCGACTGCTCAGGCTGAAGGTAGGCGGTTGTGCAGATTAGCCATTTGAGATTCTGTCATGTCACTTTCAGTCAGTTGTTCATTCAGAATCCATAGTATGTTAAAGTACACATTACTTCCCAAAACATTATTTATTGATATATCCCTCGCGTTCCGAGTGGAACATAGGGCTCGCTTCAACAACACCACACCTACACTTTGACTCTATCAAAATAAAATTTACCCATAATGGAATTACACTCTACCACAATGCCCAAGTTTTATTCTTATATCACCTACACTTTGTTCTGTTTCCTGCCATCCACTTGAGCTGGTTCACAATTGACCAAACTCTCTCATCTCTTCCTCACACGATCTCCTCCATGTCACCCTCACAGTGACGACCCACTCGTCGCTTCCCATTTGGATTCCACTAGAGAAATGGCCTGGCGGGCGGTGTCATTCGGCAGCCTCCTCAATGTATGCCCAAACCATCTCCATTTTCTCCTACATATTTGTTGAGCGATTAGCTCCTGGTTGGTTCGTTCTCAGCCAGAGTTTCTTGTTGCTTATTCTTTCTGACCACCTGATCTTCAGTATGGAACAAACAAGAGCAGGTGTTGATGAAAGTCTACAACCTGTTGGACATCATTTTCGCGACACGTAGAGCAAGTTTATGACCCGTATAGAAGCACGGACCGACTTGACATTGGCGATGAAAATGCGAATCTTGTCCTTATGCTGAGTATGGAAGATTTCTAAATTAGTTTCCCGAAAAATACTTCGTATTTTTTACAGTCTAACTGCTGTTCTTCTTCAACTTACTAACCTGGAATATGTAAATTTGCAAAGGAAAGTTTAAGATTAAATACGCACACTGTCTTAACATCCCACTTATCATAATCGAACAGAGAATGGAATGGCTGCCAAATTTCTACCTCGACTTTATTGAGTGTGAATAAGCCACCGACAGCGTTGACGTAGAAGTAATTTGGATCGAGTCCCAGTGGATTAATGGTATACGAGCTCGCCTTGTAACCGGAAGGTCCTGGGTTCGAATCCCGGTGGGTGCGTACTGATGAAGAGTCCCAAGCTGGGACGAAGCAGCTGTCCAGTACTCCCAGGTTTTCCAATGGTTCTCTAACTAATGTCAGCTCACGATGATAATCCTGTAATTTGTAAACTGTTTCAACACTATGGAAGGCCCCGAAATTTTGTCAATCTCATTCAACACAAATATAATAATGCTCCATGTCAAGTGTTTTACAACAGAAAGCTCAGCGAAGCCTTTGAAGTAAAGGCAAGAGTATTAGCTATAGGATTCCTGATTGTGTCAGACTGGATTATGCGGCATAAAGTACTCTTAAACCTAGAAGAGGGAAATACGTTAGAATGACAAGAAAACTTCCAGACGATTTATGTCTGTCACACAAACTGGAAGATGTGAAACCGAAAACCAACAAGCTGGTAGAGGAGGCAGGCAGAGAAGCCAGGACATCACGTAGATATAAACAAGGCAGTGGTGACGCAGACAGCTGATCACTATTAACCGGAGGTCACTTCTTTCATTTATTAGGACAGCATCGTCCCAGCAAAAGACAGTGGCACGTATAAGGATGTTGTGAGAGCTGTCTGCTAGCCAAAATTGGTAGACAACAATTTACTTCAATGTTTACGTCCCAAATCTTGGTCATGAGAAAAAATCAAGAACCAAGACTAAATCAACAGCCAATCACAGTGGAGTTTGCGTGGGCGGATACGATTAGCAGACTGTCTAAGAAATAGCAACAAAGAGATGACAGAATAACCTTCAGCAGGAAAACAACCAATCAGAAGACGTTACCTCTTTGCTAATAATAACGAATAATAATGTACATAAAAATATATAAATATCTCTTGATTTCCTCAATAAACAATCTCTTGCCTGACCCTTGCCTTCTGTCGTTACAAGGATGCCAAATTTCAGGATCAGAAAAGCAAGGCAGACGTTCATTACTCCGGAATCAGTGTGGAGGACCACTGCACGCAGAATAAGGAAATAGGCCCGGAATTTCAAAATTAATATCAGGTCAGCCTTTCTCTATAGTTGAGAGTCTTGGCGTGCACATCATCAAAAGCATTTCTAATAACTTTTTGCAGAATCTCATCAACAGTCATCCTCACTCTACAGTGAAAACTAAATAGCCAGAAAGGATAAGCAATGAGAAAAACTAGTACTTCAGCGAATCAACCAAGAATGTACCGCTCAACAAATATGCAGAAGAAAATGTTGACGAAGTGGAAGCAAGATGAAGAGACACGCCAAATATGAGCGAAATCCGGATAGGAAACAGAAAGTTGTGCGTGTACTCGAGAATGATAGGGTGAAAATTGTGTGAGGAGTAGATGAGAACTCATGGGCAATCATTCAGTCAGCTGAAGAGGACTCCAAAGAACAAAATCAAGCATATATATGCTATTGGAGCCCATTGTTCCACTCAGAACTGTCTCATCATGGAATCACCAGGAATTGGCAATGGCTTCTAACTCCTGAAAACAAAATTTTATACTAGGGATTATCAAACGTGAGTCAGTTAGTTCATCAACACACACACAAAAAAAGAAAACTATCATAACATGAAATGGAATGAACAGGAATGCGCTTACCTTGTAACTTTAAATACCCGTAGTAGACGTGCACAGCGTAGAACAGATACACCTAACGGTGGCATTACTTTAGTTTGAATTAATACAACTTCAATGATACTGCAGATAACCACAAAAAAATCGAATCGATTGAACATAAAGTCAAAATAGCATCTTATGCCTAAACTGTACATTTTAATTAGCATTTCAATTGAGAAGAGGACAACAAAAACAATATTGGCCATATCTATAGATAGATGGATGCATCGATGGATAGGGAAAGGAAAAAAAGAGAGAGAAAAACAGGGAAAAAGGAAATAACATTGAAGGAAAAAACAAACAACAACAGAGATGCAAAACACAACAAAATGGTAGCGCATATATATATCTCCGGAAATCAATAAAAAAATTGTTAAAAAATAAATAAAAGATTAATTTTATTTCTAATCTAAGACAATGTCAAATAAAGTGCATTAAACTGTAATATTTTATATGAGTAACAGGTAGATTAGTTTTATCTGACAGTTGTGTTTGAATGCTATGAACACATGATGTTCAGCATTTGCTTCCATTCATGTCGATGGCTGTTAACTCCCAGCTAGACTGTACCAGAATAAATAGCTTTCTGTCGGGAGTCAGTAAATGGTCTGAGTCTAACGGTCTTAAACTGAATCCTTCTAAATGTCAAACTGCTTAATTTCAGCTTAAGATGTAAAAGACAATTAAAAGAAGCCATCGATTCTCATGACAGTTGTAAGATTGACGACAATGATATAGGAATTTAGTCAGAAATTAAGTATCTTGGACTTATTCTCTCTTCTGATCTCTCCTGGTCTTCCCATGTCTCAGCGATCTCCAGTGAAATATTCCGCCTGATATTTTACATTGAGAAGTTAAGGCACTCGGGTATAACTCAACCCCTCCTCTTGCAGTTCATAAACTCTTGCATCCTACCTATTCTTCTTTATTGTTCACCCTTATTCTTTCCTGGTTTGCTTAAAAAGGACTATGTCACAATTCGTAGAATGCTGAAAACTGTCGGTTGGTTGAGTGGTGTCTCAGTGGACCACATTGTTAACGTCGTTGTCGACAGGCACTTGACTTCGTGCAGTAAATTTGCTAAAGGGATTTTGTCTGACTTGGAGCATCCACTTCACCCTCAGCTTTCACCTTGCATATCCTCAGGTAAAACAAGAAATAACTTGAGAAAACTGTATGCTCGCACGTCTAAGTATCAAAATTCTATGATACCATACTTGGCACGTATTTTATGTGAGGAAAATAGCGTCAGGCAAGAATTGACTAACCTTTTTTCATCTAGTAAATAAACAATCTCCTCCATCCATCCTTATATACCTTCAAGTTTTACTTTTATTATTTCTATTATATTTATGGTCCTGTTGCTTCTTTGTTTTACTTTCATAATTGCAAACATCAGCTAATCTCTATGACTGCTGTAATCTTTGTTTTTCCCGTCACCATATCATGTAAAGAGAACATTATATTCAATATTTTTAAACATGCTAGGATTTCTATACCACATCGACAATACTGTATGAAACAAGCCCATGGCAATTTTCACTTGTATTATTATTATTATTACCTTAGCTGTTATCATTATTATTATTATTTCCATTTTATATGCTACATGTTTTTGACATTAGCCCTATTGTAAATGTGGAAAACTTTTCTGTGTGACTAATTTTTATTTATAATTTGAGGAAACTAGATGCAATATTGTGATTAATGCTGAAAATTCCATTCTGTATCACAAGTACTGTTTTTGGAATAAAGTAAATCATTATTATTACTATTATTATTAAAATAGTAAAAATTTAAAGCTTTTGGTATTTTTCAACCAGCACGTGAAAGACAAACTGTCGCATTTGGCCACTTCTTCAACACTCTCCATATACCAGTCCACATCTTCTTGTGGAGCTGAGAACATTAAAGCGTACCATGCATTCGCCTGTGAAACGCACTCGGGAACACTATTCAGTAAAGGCAGAATGCAAGTGTGTTCATCATTCAGGAAGAGAACAGGATACCCAGCTGCATTTATAAATTGCTTCAAAGTCATATACAAGATCCAATCAAACCTGTCATACGAATGTACAGCCATCTAGTTGGTCACTTCATCGAAAATAAAATTTTCTTTGATGCAACTGTCTTTTTAATGGTCTAAGCTGCACATGTGTTCAGCATGAAGCGTGAATTTGGGCTTACTTCGATTATCTTTAGAACTTGATTAATCCTAAATTTTGTTGTACTACAGAAATACTTTTATTGTAATATAAAAATTTAATTTCCAATGTAGGTTTCGTCGAGAATCTACAGTACCGTAAGAATCTGAATGCCATGAGTGAAGTGGATATTTACCAGTAGCACGGGACAGTGTTAGTAAATTGACAAAAATGAGAACTGACAGGTGACAGGACGCCAAGTCAGTGGTTATATGTTGAACCATGAATGTCTATGGTTCGACACCTAGTGAGATCAAACTGTGGAGTGTGCCAGTCACAAGATTTACCAATAGTAGTATGTAGACGCAATCTGATAGGAAATTATGTTTTAAGGAGTAGAAATGTTTATTCCTAATATCTGGATTTAGCTTACGTTGTGGTCAGGAAATAATCTCATTGGACAACGGTTCGTCTCGTAGTTTAACTTTCAGAAAACCAACAACTAATCAGAATCGACCTAACCGACCTTAAAAGTGGCTAAAAATGCATAAAAAATTTGTTAACAAATCTCTCGTTTTCTCCTGTTACAATACTTGTTCAAAATAGGACGAAATAACTGTCCAGTACTCCAAGGTTGTCAATGGTCCCCTAACTGGTATTAGTTCTCTCCCTCCTCTATTTGCCTCTTCATTCTACTTTTATTGGCAACAGTTTACAGATGCCACCATTATTTCAAATTCTTATCTTCAATCTCTCAGTTTTACCCATTTTGTATTCATTTGGGGTATTTTTCGAAGACATTTCTAAAGTCATTAAATAGATGACAGTTTCTCAATTAGACAGTTCTCATTTCAAGGCATTTTATTCCCTGCACTCAGTTCTTTGTACACTCGTACGGTACATCTAACCGTACAGCAGGGCAAAAATAGTAGCCACTGTCATATATATTCAGGTTTCATTTTTTGTTTTATTAAAGTAACCTCGGAAAAATACAACGATAACAGGACATTCTGCTTTGACAGACTTTTATTTAATGTGGAGAATACCCCCTGCTTGAATATTTATTTCAGTGTTCTAGTTTTATTTCCCCTGACAGTCTCAGGGACATTTATGTCAAAATTAATTAAGATAGCGCGGTGTTGTGTTTTTCCTTAACATATATTTCTCAGGTTATTGAAACTAATTCAGCAGTGGATTTAACATTACATATAAAAAAATCCGTAATCAATAGTTTGGTTCACCTCAGGATGTATTCTTCTCATTAAATCTTCATCAACTGAGGAGGTGTCATGTGTATCGTCCAATACTAAACAGACTTTTTACCTTTGTTTAAATTTCTACACAAGGACATTTACTTATAAACATATAAAGCACTGTAAGATCTATCAGTGAAACAGAATTAATCGATTGGTTTCAAGTTTGGTCAGTACCTGATATCGATTAAGGGACCATTAAAGTTGTGACCAGCCAGGTCCATCAAATTGAATGTGAGGACAAATTCTCATCAATGAAATTGACTAGCGATGCTATTAAAATTCGGCGATTGACAAAAGTTAAAATTTATAGGCCATTGGATTCCGTCTCAATAGGTAAATATTTACCAAACTCGTGACTTCACCTGAATTCCATAGTGGGGTCATGGTCGCTTACCACTGAAGAGTCCAAGATTAGGACGAAACATATGTTCATAATTGCTTGGTTTTCAGTGGTTCCCTTAAATGATGTCAATCCCCTTGATCAAACTTTAATTCTGATTGGACACTAGTAACTAGTTAGACGTGTCTAGTCCTTTCTTTGGTGCAGACTGAATTCTATCAGTCAGATATTTGCAATGTGGCCACCATACCACTAGGTAGCCCGTCATCACGGTGCACATTGATTTGATGATATTAGATGGTTGGAGTCAATCGGCCACAGGAAGCCTTGGACCTAGGTTTCGTGCTAGTTGGCAGTCATCAGTCAGCAAGGCAGGCGTATCTGCAACCTTGAAGCTCAGTGGCAACGTCTGTGACTGCAGCACTGGGTGACGCGGGTTCGAATCTCAGACGGGGGACATGAGTTCCTTCAAGTTTGCAGATACGCCTTGCTGATGAGTGCCAACTAGCACGAAACCTAGGTCAAGCAAGGCTTCGTGTGGCCGATTGCCCCCAACTATCTAATATCATCAAACTTTAATTCTCTCAGTCGATTTAGCCACATAGTCACCGAGCTAAGTGATTCATCACTGCGGTACACGTGAATTGCTGTTAAGGAGTTGAAGGGAATTGAAATGAAAGTCCTACGTTACTCCCCACCTTGGCTTATCTAAACTCTCGATATCCTCTATGAGATTCTATCTTGTATTGTCTACTTATTGACTCAGAGACGATATTACTGAAATTCAATCTATCTTGGTTCTTAAATTCCACTCTGAAGAATATTCAAAGTATTACTGTGTTATATGATTTAGATGCGTAGAAACCTTTTTTAGAGATTTTTCTTAATGCGTCATCTGAAAGTAGCTACTCATAGGAAGGAAATTTTTTATTTCAAAGGCTGTTGAAAGTTACTTGTTGTTGTTCATTCTTAGAACTTTGCTTTTTTATGCAAATTTTTGAAAGTACCTTAGTCTGTAATAAGAAAGCCGTTCCAAGAGTTTAACACACACGTATATAAACATAAGATGCAATTGATAACAAAGACATTGGTCTAAATTCTTGTAAATATTGACTTAGTATCTGCTTACTTCCCCTTTCCAACATTTCAAATTAAGCGGGAAATTTGTTTGTTTAAATAAACAATCTTCATCTCATGTAGCACATGTTTTTTGGGCAGCGGTGTGTGGGGTTACAGAGGGGTGAATAGTTAAACAAGCGAAAATACAAACAAATAAATTTTCGTTTTCATTTTAAGTTCCGGGGGGGGGAATTCATAAAACTGTCAAATATTAATAATAATAATAACTTTGAACGAAAATGTTACCTTGGAAATCATCAAGCCATAAAGGTTGTCCATAATGTTCTGATGTAAGAACACCGGTATTAAGAAAGACAAGAACAATAACTATCCAATAGAATGTTTGAGATTTAACCAATCGTCGACAAGAACGTCGACAACGTCGATTCCATCGTCGAGATCGTCTCCTAATTAAAAGGGAGATGAATACGTATATTGTAAAAATGAAGCTTGATTTATGAGAAGATTCAATAAGTTTTAAGTTTCAAATGGTTCTCTCTAACTGAAAACTTAGTCTGGCGCTTACCAGCTACTGGATCTATGCAAGAAGTTACCTCTGAGTTTTAGTGAAGAGTTGTGACCAGAGGAGTCTATCAAATTAGACAGGAGAAGAGTTACTCGCTGAGGACATTGGCTGATTGGTTGTGCAATATATTATAGGATGTTAGGAATGATGGGCCATTGTATTGGCCCCCAGTGGCTGAAAGGTCTACCAACCCACCTTGTACCTGCAAGTTTCTGTGTTCGAACCTTGCAGAGGAGAAGGTACTGATGAAGTGTCACGAACTAGGACGAAACGGCTGTCCAGTACTCTCCGGCTTTCCAGCATTTCTCTAAATGATGTCTAATCGTGATTAAACCTGTGTGTTCCATTTAAAGCGTATACTTGTACCACAAATTTTTGAAGTAAACGTAAAACATTGTAATTCGAATTCCCAAACCTTTAATACTAACACAGATGAATACAGACGCTTTTTTGATGTCTAATACCATATAAAGACGATTAATAATTCATCAACATCCCAGGGTCATATCACTCTACTGTTACAATGAAATAAGGTGTGTTTTACCTTATGATGAATAAAATAAAACAATATTAGAGAGGGTAAAATATTAATTTCTTAACGTCAGTCAGCTGGTGGTGGCTAACAGTGAAATTCAAGATGCGCATTTCGCAAGCTCATCAGCTGGATTCAATCACATCCCCAGTAAGTTATAGTGTTACAAGTGAAACCCACAACCAGCACTCATTGTCGAAGCATCCGTACTAGCATCTGACCCTGTCAACACAGATAGAAAATTCCGGTCCAGTGTAGTCAGTCAAGAGGAGATCAAATATAACTCTGAAGAAAATGGAGATGGATCTGCAGCACTCTGAGGAGACTGTTGGGCGAAATCGTGCGCCAGGCATATCCCCAAAGTGGAAAACGACGAGTTTGGCCTCTGAGGGTGACTCGCATGAGATCGTGTGAAAAGAAAATTGGAGCCTATGGAAAAACGGTCAGCCAAAGAGGACCTCAGAGGAGAGAACAAAGTGTAAATGTGTTGTTAAATCCCTATTTCCCAAATGGAGCTCAAGGAATAATAACAATAATATTGCCGTTATTCAAAGTGTGAAACCGTTGAAAACACCTCAAGATAGACAAAACAAGTAATTGTTTATAGAGTTTTGATTGGTTTCTGTTTAACCATTAATTAACATGAGTTGAATAACTTCTGAAAATCAGGGAATTCTGAACGAATGTTTTGTTTTAGTTTTCATCTCTTCAGCACGGATATGTAGTGCTGTTATTTTCCTTCACGTTCCGCAATGGAACATAGAGCTTCAAGCTTGTGGCTTGAAGTTTCTGTAGCAGTGTTGATTTTAAAGGATGGGGTTGCTAGCCTCATGCCCAACCTTTCCTCTTCACCAGCATTATTTCTGGCTTAGCGAGGTAAAGGAGTGCGTTTGTGGCCGGGGATCGAACCCTGGACCATGTGCATGGTTGGCGAGCGTCCTAACCGCTATGCCACCGACACACTCTTTTTTCAGTATAACTTGAGATATATAAAGTAGGTACAGTTTGAATGCGAAGGATCAGAATCTGACACAATCCTATGTAAGCGAATTTTCTAAGCGTGTTAACCAAATCCATTAATCACTTATGTAATAAAACTATAGAACCGCATTACATGGCACTGTTACTCAGTGGAATATGATGATAGATGTTGCTCATGGTCATTCAACAGGAATACTTGGGCGAATTTCCTACGTTTATAAGGCTTTAATCTGTTGCTAACCATGTGGAAGTTAATCGTCAAACCTCAGGATAACGAAGGCATATGATATGATAAATAAAGTTGCATTTTAACAATATTTTCACCAGTTAACCCTTATATCCTGCTAAAATACAGAGAACAGAAGTAAGCTATTGAGTACTGATAAAGAAACCAAATCTGAAGTTAAGTATCTTGGACTAATTCTTTCTACTGACCTATCCTGGTCTTCCCATGTCTTAGCGATTTCTCAAAGAATATTTCGTTTGACTTTTTACATTAAGAAGTTAAGGCATTCAGGCGTAACTCAACCACTCCTCTTACAGTTTATCAACTCGTGTATTTTACCTATTCTTCTTTACTGTTCACCCTTATTCTTTCCTGTACTGAAGACTGTCAGTAGGACGAGTGGTATCCCATTGGGTCATATCGTTAACATGGTCACTGATAGGCACTTGATATCATGCAACAAATTTGCTAAGGGAATTTTTTCAGACTGTGAGCATCCACTTTACCCACAGCTCCAACCTTGTATCTCCTCCTCAGGTGAAACAAGAAGTCTTTTCAGAAGACTTTATGCAAATACGTCTTAGCACAAAAATTCCACTATACCATATTTGCCACGTATTTTATGTGATGAAAATAGTGTTAGACATGAACTAACTAACCTTCTTACCACTAGTAAATAAACCATTTTCTCCACCCTTATAACATCAAGCTTTATTGTTATTGTATTTCTTATATTTATAATCCTCTCAACTTTTTTGTTTCTATTTGTTTATTGTTTCATAAGTGTGAATATCATTTAAAATGTGTTATAACTGTTAATTTTGTATTTCCCCCTCACCATGCTATTTCAGCAGAACATTAGATTCAATAATCTATAACATGCCAAACTTCCCAAAATGAATCGAAAATAGTGTTTGACACAAATTCACTGCTATTATTATTATTATATTTATTATTCTCATGTTGTTCTTCAAATATTTTTGACTTTATACGGTAAATGTGGACAAATTCCTCTGGTTAATTTTGTTTTAACTTTTAATTATATTTATATTTCAAGTATTATTATAATTGTTTCCTTTAATTCCTAGAAGAACATAGAGCTTCAGCCACACGTCTCCATTGCGTTCGGTTCTCTGCTAGAGTCTTCATCTGGCTACAAGTCTTCCCACACGTTTTCATCTCCTCTTCACATGACCTCCTCCAAGTCACCCTCGCACTAAAGACCAACTCGCCGCTTCCCTTTCGGGTTCCACTCAAGCAATGGCTTGTCTAGTGATGTCACTTGATGGTTTTCTCAGAGTATGGTCAATCCATCTCCATTTCTTCCTGCCTATTTGTTTCACAATTGGTTCCTCTTTGGTTCGCCTCCAGAGATCTCTGTTGCTGATCTTTCCTGGTTGGCCATCTGATCTTGAGTATTGAGCGAAGACAACTGTTAATGAAGGTCTGTAGTTTGTTTGAGATGCTCTTTATGACGCGATAAGTCTCTGATCCCTATGGTAGCATTGACTTCACGTTGGAGTAGAAAATCCGGATCAGACGCAATATTGTGATAAATGCTGAGAATTCCGTTCTGTATTATAATTACTGTTTTTTGGAATAAAGTAGATTATTATTATTATATTGAAGAGACAGGATAACAAGTGCATATTTCACTGAACCCTAGTACATTATATCAAAGAACGGAATGCCTTTCTGTTGGCGGTAACTTGCAGCACGAATCATAAAACAGCTGTTTAATGCTATTTTAGAACTCATGATACGGAAGGACTTACCCTTTCAATGGAATACAGAAAAAATATTGTTGCTGTTGTTGTGATGACGATTGACCACGATGTCCACCACCACCACCGCCATCATCCATACCATGTTCTGATGGATCTTCTTCTTCCTCTTCATAGTCATCAGGTGTTGACGATGATGATGATGTTGAACGACAAGCAGCACACCAACGAAATTCTATTTTAGTAGTGAAAAATAGTAAGATTTAGAACAACGCACTGACAATTATTACTGTAAATCAGAAGTGTTAAACAATACTTCAGTATTTCCAAGTGCTGGTTTGTAGGGATTTGATTGGTTACAGGATTTTCATCATGAGCTGACATCAGTTAGAGAACCATTGGAAGACCTGAGAGTACTGGACAGCTGTTTCGTCCTAGTTTGGTAGGTAGTTACCTGGGGTTCTAGTGAGAAGTCGTGACCAGTAGGGTGCAGCAGGTCAGCTGTGAGGACAAATACTCGCCGAAGACATTGGCTATGGGTCGCACTATGTCGTGAATTGGCAGAAGTTAGAATTCATGGGCCATTGGATCGGGTCCCAGTGGCTCAATAGTATACGAGCTCGCCTTGTAACCAGAAGGTCCTAGGTTCGAACCCTGGCAGTGGGTGCCTACTGATGAAGAGTCCCACAGTAGGACGGGGGAAACAGCTGTCCAGTACTCCCAGGTTTTCGAATGGTTCTCTAACTAATGTCAGCTCATGATGAAAATCCTGTGACTTCAGTATTTGTAAAATTCATAATACCAACCACCCAGCCCCTCCTCATTCTATAAAATAGTTTACTTTCCACAAAATTTGTATATTGAAAATGACACAATAAAACATAAGATTTTATGCTGTTTGTTTACCTGTTTGGCTAACAACAGAATCTAGGATACCCATTTCGTCCTATTTCGGATTCCCCAAGGAGTGATTGTGTTCTAACTGACTTGACTCTCTCTGAGATGAATAAAATCGAGGACAACGCTGATAACTTCAACGCTAAACGAGGGATAGACACCCATGCTGTGTTTTTAGACAACTTCGATGCAGCTGGCTAAACAAGCACTACTCGCTAATATGAGTGATATCCTACTACTCATTCGAACCAATCAGTAGTATGTAGTTGTAGACACAGTTAAGATATCATAAGAAAAAATAGAAAATGGAGATGGAGGAACATAAAACCTGTCAATAATCGATTCGAACGATCTTCCACGTTTCACAGAAAATCATACATAAAGAGAACACTGTATAAAATAAAGTAAAGGTTATCGAAATGTTGAGAGCTTTAATATTAGTGAATACAGAATCTGTAGATGACTCCAAGTAGTAATACTGAGTCTCCAATATCTGATTTCTTGTACCTCTTCAAGGTCCTACATACATACACACAAACGACCACGGGATGATTTTCCCAACTGATTCCACATACCTAGCTAATTATGACTTCTAATTAGGAGTCATGGTAATTCCTACCAAAACTGATAAATAATCGGAATCAGAACCAAAGCTTCTTAGCATTAGAATAAGACACAGGTAAGCATGTCTACTTGACTAATTTGTTGTCTGTAACAAAGAACTACCAAATCAGACAGGGATAATTATTCTATATAACCGAGTTACATAATTTGTTCCTTAACTTTGGCGTCAACAGGGCATTTTATATTGGTCGATAGTATTCAGCTAGTATTAGGGACTAGAAAGTATAATATCGTTTACACCATAATGACCAGTCAGTGTATCCAATTCTTGGTTATATCTTAGGCTGTGGCATTAGGCAACATGTGTTCACATTTCCAACATTACATCAGTTATATAGAGGTTTCGGATACTTCTTGCAAAGAAGAGGAAAAATAAATACGAAATGTAGGCGGCAAAAATCCCTGTCATTGGTGTCCAACTATCAAAAATAGTGATATATTTATATATATTTGTTAAGGGAAGGTGAACCACAGAAAAAACAGAAACAATCTCATAGTCCTTGTGTCAAAAAGAGCAGAATGAAAATGCTACCTGGGATTCTATAGGAAAGTCGTCACTAGTAGGGTGCAGCAGGTCAGGTGGGAGGACGAATACTCGCCGAAGACGTTGGCTAGCGGTTGCGCTATGTCGTGAATTGATAAACGTTAGAATTCATGTGCCATTGGATTGGGGCTAAATGGCTTAATGGTCTACGAGCTCGCTAGCCTTGTAACCAGAAGGTCCTAGGCTAGAACCCTTGCGGTGGGTGCGTACTGATGAAGAGTCCCACAGTAGGACGGGGGAAACAGCTGTCCAGTTCTCTCAGTTTTTCCAATGGTTTTCCAACCAATGTCAGGTTATGATGAAATCCTGTAACCCTACAAACCAGTACTTGAAAAAGTTTATTTATCTGTTCAAAAAAGACGATTGTAATCACCCATGTCGGTACTATTATTATGACTTCCCTTTCGGATTTCCCAATGTAACATAAGGCGTCAACAGCACACCATCAACAGTCTTCCTTAACTAGCTTTTAGACTGCCAACAAGCTCCCGTTCACTTGTCAGATGATCCCTGTCTTGCCACACTCAGATTCCCAACTTGTCTTTCACTCTGGTCAGTTCTACGCGAATGTCTGGCATGTGATATCACCCATGTTTCTGTCACAACCAACGTGTTTTAGAGTTTGTATATATATTAAATTGTAAGCGTGAAGATATGGTTCACTGGCTTAAGCAACCCACTTGTAGTCAAAGAGTCCTGGGTTCGAATCCTCCGCCCCCCCCCCACTGACTTGAGTAATATCATCATACAATATTAGGCTTGGCTGTTGGCTTCATATATTAAAAATTTTTGCCAGAAAATTGAGTTCTACCAGAACTGAACTATTCACGATTAATTAGATAGCAGATTTAAAGAAGAAATCCTTACTAACACACTGATAGACTGTCACAGACTAACTTATTATGCATGCCATTTAATATTAATATAGTTTACGATAGACGAACTAAACGAGAAACAAATGTGTGTTTTTTGTCAAAGTACTATCAGTACTAATAGATCATCTCTTCAACGAATTGAAGACATTCCAGATTTATGTTGATTGGGACTATAAATAATAATCATTTGTAATCAATTCATAAAACATTTAAAAAAACACAACTTCAAATCTTCCTTCCTATTTGTTAATCGATCAATCAGGTTATCTATTGCATTGTTATATCATTATGAACTGCAGAAAAAAAACTGACTATCATAAATTAATATGTTGATGGATTATTAAAAAACAAACAAAACAAAGTTGGTTAGAAGTAATATCATCGCGTGATGGTATTACTGTTGTCAAATATACTACTGAATGATTGATTAATGTGAGTAGTTGGAACACATAAATGTTAAGCCTGAAGTGAATGGTATATAGCTAGAACACAAAATAATCGAAACGCCTGACTGTCGTTCCCAACTACTCATTTCAATTAGTATTATTATTAATTCCTTTAATTCCTAGAGGAACATAGAGCTTCAGCCATCTGCCTCCATTGAGTTCGGTTCTCTGCCAACTTTTTCACCTGGCTACAAGTCCGCCCACACACCTTCATCTCCTCTTCACATGACCTCCTCCAAGTCACCCTCGCACTGACGACCAACTAGCCGCTTCCCTTTCGGGTTCCACTCGAGCAATGGCTTGTCTAGTGATGTCACTTGATGCATTGTTTCCTCAGAGTATGGCCAATCCATCTCCATTTCTTCCTGCCTATTTGTTTCACAATCGGTTCCTGGTGGGTTGGTTCGCTCATTGAGAGAGATCACTGTTGCTGATCGTTTCTGGCCGGCCATCTGATCTTGAGTATTGAGCGAAGACAACTGTTGATGAAAGTTTGTAGTTTGTTTGAGATGCTCTTTATGACGCGCAGTGCAAGTCTCTGATCCGTATAGCAAGTAGCACTGACTTCACATTGGAGTTGAAAATCCGGATGTTATTTTTGATGCTGAGTGCTGTTGACCTTTGGTAGTATACATATATATATGCGAGCATGCGGTTTTAACTCAACCACGGGAAATCTAAGACAGGAAGTGAGACATGTATGAGAAGCTTTGAAACTTAATAACTGCCCTGATGAATTCGTCAGAAAGTATGTAGGAAAATGTAAGACTGATGACAATAGGAAAATAATGACGACATGTATGATAATCATGCACAGAAAATAATGAAGACATCAACATTAAAGAATTCCAATCATCAGGGGGACTTCCATACAAAGAAGGAAGCTCGGAAACCTTACGGGGAACTCTTAAGTAGTGTTCACACCCACAGCCTCAAGTAAAAACAAGCTTCATCGCTTTTAAGGATCCTTTGGAGACAATTCAAACAATTTAGTTTATCTAATACTCTGCTGGAATGATTGTCAGGTGAAATATATGTAGGTCAGAGTAGTAAAACAGGTGCAGTCAGACTAGTCAGACAAAATGCTAGCAAAATCTAGATTAGTTGATCCTAATGGAATAAGATATCACTACATGTAATTACACACAACCATACTATAGGATGGGATAAGATGACAGTTCTAAAATGTAATATAACAGGGTGGGAAGAAAGAATGATATCGGAAGCTTTGTTTATCGAATCAGCTGCAAACCAACACGTGTAATAGGAATGCTTCAACACTTGTCCAGACGGACATCTGGAAAATTCTACTACCCTTACGACGACAAATAGGAGAGAATAAAGAAAACTATAAAGCCCAAGTTTCGAAGTTGTGTGATTATAATTGTTGGATATGATTATGAGCAGCAATAAACATGTGTTCGAAACATTGTCCTCCAGTAAATAATACTGTTTCATCACTGTGTGTGATGTATATCTACCTAATAAACAAATAAATATGGAATAAAGTAAGCTTACATACAAACAGACAAAAAGTCAAATATCAAGTGAATAGATTCGTCAACACCAATAGAAGTTGAGACGAAGATAATAAAATTTCCTGAGACGACCAATCGCATTCAAAGTCACCAAGAGAGAGAGGGAAAGAGAGAGTGGGTTGCCTTACTGATGAAGACTTCTGAAAGCTTAACCACCCTAGCCTTCAGTGAACACTGAAGTTGTTGTCTAGAAAGACGAACAAACCGTTCAGCCCAGAGAAGGCAACTACATCGACAGTGTTCTACCTTTCACATATATATGTGACATTTGATAATATCTGTGGTGTCAATGGGTTGAATTCTAGTCTTAGAACATACTGATTCAGTAAACAACACATAAATCAATAAATCAATAAATAAATAATAAAGTAAAATTACTTTTCTCTTTTTCATCCTCTTTATTTGTCGTATCTTCATCATCACTGATATCTTCAGCTGCACTGATCCAATCCAGATAGCCTTGAACATCTTCTTCGAATTGCATTTGTTCCCTGGCCTTTTGATACTTTCCACGTTTCTTAGCCTTTTCTCTTTCTTTTGAAAACTCACTATAGCAGTCACAACACACAGACATAAGACAGGAAGACAAAATAAGAACAGCAGCGTTAGTAATCAAATAAATAAATAAATAAACCTTGCCTTTTTAATTGGAGGGAGAGGAGGGCATTTAATGAAACTACACCCCCCCACACACACACACAGTGACCTCGTTTCACCTAGTCAAATTACCGGTCATGAACCTGGGAGAAAAAGAAATTTTGGGTGTGGGGCTAGAAACCTCAACTTGCGTAAAAAAACATTCATATCACTATGGTAACCACACTGTCAGTCATACTAATTAGTTTTGTCCTCATTTAGATATAAAATCATCTTTTGATTATCATTGAACTTATTTTCAGTAGGAAATAAATTTTACAAATTTTTATTTTTACAAAAATTCACAGAGTTGAGTGAAGTGGTGTTGTGGTGAGTTACATCATATATGCTGTGTGTATGCCTAGGAGAGGTAACCATTACCAACAAGGACGTCAGTAATAATAATAATAATAATAACAGCGATGAATTTAATAAGGAAGAATAAACGTATCATGTGAAACCAATATGTAATGACAAAAAATCAAACAAAATACTGCTTCAAGAGTTATTCAACCATTCTCTTAATGAAAGCTTCAATGTACTCAGAGGTGTGAGTGAAGCTGTAGCTCAGTGGGTTAGGCACTTAGTTCTCGACAAATTGGTCACAGATTCAAGTCCTTCTCCACCCACTTCAACCTCGGGCAGAACAGTAATATCAATAACTTGATATGTAGACAGATAAACGATGGATTATCGTCCCACGGATAATATGGAGATCGAAGTCAGTCTAGACAGAAACCGTATATGTATACGTATGGATATTGTCACTCATTCCTATGTTCTTGGTCAAGTGCATATCGATTTATGGGCATCTTCACTGGCAAAGTTAAATTTTAAGCACCACCAATCACATGAAGGGGGCATTTTTGTGTATAGAATACATATATTTATGAAAAATGCATAAAAACTGTATAAAAGTGTAACAGAGGATACCTTCCCTTCACATGTGATAAAAGTATCTCTCATTTGTAGGTTGGAGTATCAACAGGTTATAATTCCGTTGTGGTTAAAATTTATTTTGATAAAGCCTCACAGTGTTATGCAGTAATATTTAATGGGCAATAAACCATGCTCAAAACGCCATCAGTAAATATCACTTTATAACACTTTGAGACTTTATCAGAATAAATTTTACCCATACAAGAATTATACTGAACCACAGTGCACAATTTCTATTCTTATATGAACAAAGCAACATGACCACATTCTCTGCAAGTAATTATTTAGGTCTTCTAACCCAAACAGTAACCCGAATCTTCCCGGAACCTAGCCCTAACGTGAAAATATGCCGAAACTAACTTGAACTAACCCTAATGTCACCTTTGCTGGTTTATTTTTTTTATTTTTATTTTTGATTTACAGCTTGATTCCACACGGTATTTTCAGTACAAGTATGGAATTTTCAGCATGGATATCGGTTAGCCCAAATTCAGGCCTACCATAGATATCGGGTGTGCGCCGGCAGGGGATCGAACCCCGGACCATGTGCATGGTCGGCGAGAGTCCTAACCACTGTGCCACCGACGCACAGTAACCCTAACTTGTCCTTGGCCTAAACCGTAACTTAACCTATCCCAAACCTAAGCTGAAACTTTCCAAATATTCCATTTAATAAACTAACAATTCGATGAGCATATTTTATTGATGATGATAACATTACTTAACATTACAAGGTTATTAGTGCGGTCACACTCCATTTGTATTCAGTGGTACTTAAAGTTTAACTTGGCCTCTTCACTCACGCATACACCATAGGCCACATATATATATATATATATTCCTTAGCAGATATGCGACAGTGACACTGGCAAAAATATCCTTCCCATATCATATCGTTGTGTGTTCCCACTTAAGCACAATGGGCTAGGGGAAATAGGTAACTGAAGTAAAATATTGTTGGGGAGTAGTTAAGCGGTAGTCGTGATCAATACGTTTGTGTCAAGCATCGGAGCCGCTGTTCTACTTCAGTTTCAAATGTTATTACGAAATAATATGTGTTGTGACACCATGACATAGCTTCATCTTAGATATGTGCATTTTATATAATACACAGTGATAGAGATGACATTTCTAGCAGAAATTTAATGTTCATAATCATATCAATGTATTCTCGCCTTTCACCCTCTTTCATTGTACTGTTGGATGGTATATATGAACGTACTAAGAAATAATGTTCACGTGCAGGGATTTGATTGGTGACAGAATTTCATCATGACCTGAAATTGGCTAGAGAATCTTCGAGTACTGGACAGCTGTTTCGTCCTAATTTGCGGCGCTTCATCAATACACACGCGCCAGGGTTCGGACGCAGGACCTTCTGGTCACAAGGTCACCTCGTATTAATGTAGTAAGATGCTCAGAAAGACAGAAAGGTTAGTCACGGAATCCTTGTTCAATGAATTAACACTAAATATGTACAGTCAAAATGACGAAACTCCTATCCCGTGTAAATGGAGAATCTTAGGAAGGACGCATGAATCAAGTCAGGAAAACGTGGAAATACATTGATATAATTACTGGTACTTTATCATCCATTGTGTGTTACACTGAATAAGCTAATCTAAGATTGAACTATGCTCTACTACACAGAACGAATCCTAGTCTTACACTAATATATGTAGCCTTTTACCTCCACTGGGTAGCTGAGTACAAACAAAAATAACATACATACTCTTCTCAAGTACTTATTGTAGTACATGACAGGATTTAGAGTATTCTTTGATATCTCCTGTGGTCTACTCTAGCTTACATTATCCGTTAATTCATTCTTATGCGTTTGATACTTTGATACATTATATCATTATTAATGGAAAAGACAACACAATAAGAAGACGCGGTTTATCTGAAACATGTAATGTACTTGCGCAACACATTTCGGACAACATGCTGATAACACACGCATACTGGTGATACACGAGCTCGCCTCGTAACCAGAAGGTCCTGGGTTCGAATCCCGGTGGGCGCGTGCTGCTGAATAGTCCCAAACTAGGACGAAACAGCTGTCCAGTACTCCCAGGTTTTCCAATGGTTCTCTAACTGATGTCAGCTCATGATGAAATCCTCCATGCAGTTATATAAAAGGCAAGAAGGCATGAATTATTACAGTACAGGTCGGATTGAGTACAGGTCAAGTCACAAATAATAGGTAGTGAGATGACGCAAAGATGTGGGTAAGAAAGAAAGAAAAAAAAACAAAAAACGAATTGAAAAACTTGTGAAGTAAATTAAACCTTGGTTCTAAATTAAACTGGATAACCAAGGCGGGTTAAAAGTAATAACAAATAACTTTTGGACACATAAGATAGGTTTAAGTCTTTTTATAGTCAAGGCTTCAGCGAATTTGAGTATGTGATGCAACCTTGTTTTATATATGGGCTTTAAGGCATTGTTAAAATCAACCTTCTGACCAGTCTCAATAATTTCCTTCACTATAGATGATGTTGAACATCTGTTTCCGAGATTTATTATGTCCGGCAATTTTATTTGTTGTTACAGCCACTTTGGGATATGTTCTGTAACACTAACCTGCAGAGACCGCTGGGTCCTCCCTATATACGCGTGTTCACACATCCATGTAAATTGATAAAAACAATGGGATGTGAGGCTTAACAGGGTAGCATAGATCTCGTTTTCTCAAAGAAGATAGGTTTAGCTGAGTAGTAAGTTCTGTTAACTGCGGCCTTAAGTCTTTGTTCAGTGACCGGACTCTGTTGATCACCTGTGGTAAGCAAGGATATATATAAAAACATCCTTTTTGAAAGATGACTGGATCGGTTCAGCTCTCTGGTTGACACTTACTTCCTAAACGCCTAATAAATCTTAGCGGGTAACTGTTATCTCACAATATTTCAGTGAGGTGTTGTCTCTCCTCTTCAATTGTGTCGGCAGTACAAATACGTTAAATGCGTTTGAAACAGGGGTAAATTTAATTTTACATCAGAATAAAGGTTTAATTTTTGTTTAAATTGTTTCCTATTTCCTGTGTATTGATTTACATTAGATCAAATACTCAGTATCTGTCAACATGACAGTGCCTAGTATGAAAGCCTAAACGATACCTTTAGATGAGCATGATATTCTTTAGTTGTTAATGGGGGCTACTAGAAGATGTATGTCTCACCCTCCTTGGGAACTATCAGCTGAAAGATGTCCGTAGTGACGATATGTCAACAGGAACGGAATATTTTGATCGGCAGGAGATAAAAAAGAACCTAAATAAAAAGCCATTAGTGCCCGCTGCATAATACGTTGCTCAAGTGGCTTAGTAGCCTTCTGAAAACCGCTTTGGCGTTTGGAAAGATCAATGCTTGATTTGAATCCCAGTGGGGACACTGACACCAACTCGGGACGCATGCAACGCAACTACGAATCAGTAACCAAGTAATAAGGCTTTCATATATCTTTCAGACCATCTGACTTTTAGTCAGTTGTATAGTAGTATTAAAACAGGTGCTCTGAAGTATAATAACCATATTTATGGTTACTATAGAAACGGTATCTTGTATAACTTCAGCTGCTGCGTATTGTTCATTACCTAACTAATTGGTAAGTACCGTTCTTTTCAGCGAGATGTTCACATGGGAAGCACTAAAATGCATTTCAGTGGCTCAGGGCCAGAGTGCTCACCAACCACCCACTTCATTTGGGTTCGATTCCCAGCCGACTTTAACTTCAAAACCTCAACTAGTCGGTGGTTTTGGTATGCCGGGTAAAGAAGGAAGGTTAGCGGGAGTGAGGGAGGGGTTGGAGGCTAGAATCTCGACCCCGTCAAAAGCGCACACAAACACACTTTCGCCACTGAAACTTCCACTCGCAATTGATGTAAAGGAATGAAAGAGGAATAGAATACAATCTATGTATTAGTCACATGATACCAATTCGTTTAAAGCGTTTTTCAACTGTAAAACAGGGA